AAAAAAAAAAAAAAAAGAAGAGGAAGAAAAAGAGGGGCTTAGGTGTGGCCCTACATTTGTGGCACTTCTCCAAACTTTCTTTCACTTACTCTGTCACCCACCTCCCCCTTTCTATTGGTGAATGCCTGGCTTTTGCAGATGTTTTGTGGGTTTTTAAAACCTGGGAGGGAAAGAACCCAAGAAGTGGAGGGTGCTAAATAAAGTGGGTACTACAAAACAGTCAAATCAAAACTCATCTTCCTGGCTACATCCTTTCACGTCCTCGGTAGAAATAAAACAGGAGTCATTCTGAGAGCTGAATGAATTCCCCACAAGGGCAGGTTAGGACAGCTTTGGTCTGGGCTCAAGAAAATAAGGACTTGCTTCCATTGTGTTCGCTGGTTCTGTCTTTAGTCCTACAGTTTTCTGCTTCTACCTAAATTATTTGCAGCCAGGTAGAACTGTTCCGACAGTGACTTCCTGGAACCAACAGAATTTCTGACAACTCTCTGTACTCAAAAGATCTGACATGGCCTGTGATTCTAATAAAGCTAATGACACGCCGTGGCCTGCTGCACGAAGGTGAGCTGGGCCCGAACCCCTCTGTAGGGAACTGGGAGACCAGAAAAGCAGAAGCACCAGCCACGAGTGCAGACACTGAACTGTCGTGACATGTGGGGACAGTGCCCAGCAGTTTGCTGACTGAATAGTGATGTATGGAGGGGCCAGAACGCTCCTGGTGATTCTTTGTAAACCAGCGTTTTGAGGAAGCTGAAACTGTGAGTAAGCACATGCAACTGCCTGGTCGCTGGGAGGGGAGTGATGCAGATGTGAAATGAGAAGCAGAAACGTTGGAGAAGAAGTCAGAGACACTTGGCAGTCCCCGAAATGTCCCCGGTTCCGGGTGGTTTCTAAATACCTTCCATCGGAGAGCGTCTTCTCCGAGCTCCATGCTGAGCAGGGCCCAGGGGACAGGGCGGTGGCAGAGAAGGCAAGGCCCTGCATTTCAGAGCGAGCAATGCACTGGCAACCCCAGGCCACACCACAAGCGTCCTTGCAGTCGGG